CATAATTGTACAATTTTTATTGTGCCATTTAGCTTTTTTGCCGCTTTTTTTTTTTTTTTTTTTTTTTTTTTTTTTTTTTGGCTTCCTCTGTATACAAATCGCTTGATTGGTTGGGAAAAAAAAAAATTCTCAAACAAACGCAAATGCTAATCTTTTGTAAAATGGAAAAAAAAAAAAAAGAGCAACGAAGCAAATGTGTAACTGTTTCGTTCATTTTCTAAAATATATTTTCAGAAAATATTTTTAAAACACGAAATTGTACTTATTAGACAAAAACGAAACAGAACAATGGCACAAAACGCGTTGCGCTGTTTTTTTTTTTTTTTTTTTCTTGTTTGACCTGGGTCAACTTATTGTTCTTTGCTGATGGCTAAAATGAAAGGGGTAACATAACACGTTAGGTGCTTGCGCTCTTTTTGAAGGGCGTTTCTTTGTCCTGCTTTGGTTCGCTTTGATTTGCTATACTATTTTTTTTTTACTTTCTTTATTTTATTTTTATTCCCCTCCTGCGTGGCATATACGCCCCTCAAGTATCACCCGTTCGCCTGGACACCCTTGCCGGAAAATGTCTACATATGCACACCGCTTTGGTGGAAAGTGTCATTTGCTCTCAATTTAGTGAAACGGATCGAACGAAAATTTGCCTCCTTTGGCAACATCGCTTGGGGGGATAACTGTGAAAAGAGCTCACGCGTATGGGGACATATCAAGGTGAACATACGCCAACCTAGACATACTCGAAAGTGCCCCCCTCAGCCGCAGCGCGAGAAACGACACCCTACACAAGTGTCCTCCAATTTTGGCTGAAAAATGAGAACACGTCGATCCATACTATAGACTGCACAAAAAAAAAAAAAAAAAAGGCATACAAATTGATGGCATGTCAAAAGGTCATCTGCTCTTTCGCGTTAAATAACCATGCGTTCCATTTTGTGGCAACTGTGAAAATTACGAAAGCGAAGGGGGGGGAAAATTTCCGTCTTCTTTTTCCTCGCTGCGTCCACAACAACGATGATGCATTTCCCCATATTCCACTTCATTTAGCTAATTCCCAAACACACGTTAGTGTTTACGCACGTGTGCCTAAATGCACAAGTTACTTTTTTTGTTTTTTTTATATGATCATCTCGCCCCTTTTTCACGCATCATCCGTTGTCGGCTCAGTTACGTACAAAAAAATTTGGACATTTTCCCCCCTATTTGGAGTCACCTTTCTGTGTAGTCCCCGCCCCCCAAAAGGAGATACATATGGTTAAATTATTTTATTTTATTTGACTTCATTTCATCCCAGTTGGCTCCCTTCTAAAAAAACCAACAAAGACATTTTGAAAACCTCTCCAAGGAGAAAAAAAGTGCCGTTGGGCGGACTTCTACCACGCCTGTTGTGTGGTATGTATTTAATACTTCCATTTTAATCTTTGCGAAATTTTACTTTCAAAGGAGTTGTGCAGTTTTTTTTCTCCCTTATTAAAATTTGTGAACATAATTTTCTCCTAGTTCTGTTCCCGCTTCACTTCATGGTGCGTTGAAAATTGTGACGGCCTTGTTTTTCACTCCACGGCGTGGTCCCGCAAAAAATGGGTCACGTCGTTCTGAGGGAACCCTTGTAATAACCTTTTAGCCATTTCACATTACTTTCTCAACTCAGCTTCTCTTACACCTGGTTGGTGCATATCTGATGCTTCTCCCATTCCAGCGGTGCGCTTAGGCAGAGTGGAAAATTTCCCGAACCGACAAAGGCGCAAACACTCGCATTACCCAACGTTGCGTACATTTTTTGCCCTGTTCTAAATTTTTATCGCGTCAACAAGGCCCAACTTCTACTGCTTGCACGAAAAAAAAAAAAAAAAAAAAAAAAAAGTCAGAATTAACCCTCGCGGAGTTTAAAAGGATGCCCCTCGGCAACAGTGAAGAGGTTATAACGGCTGTGAAGTCACCACTGTGGTGAACAAACCACAAAGGGGAGCATCCATAACTGCCGTTTTTTTTGTTAGCAGTTGTCAAATTTTTTTTTCTAAATAGGGCTACTATTTTTGTCCTCTCCCACCCATAAGAGAACGAATTGGGGGAAGGATCACAATGGTGCTGAACGGTCCGCTCAACGGGCTGGTAAATGCGCCGCTAACCGAATTGCTTCAAAAGTGGGAGGCCAAAAGGATAAACTTATGCAACGTATGTCTCTGCCTCCACCACTTGAAAAAAAATATACTCTTAAAATGGGGAGACAGAAGGGACTTTCTATTAAGCAGCATCAATGAGGAGACGATTACGAAAGTGGTAGAACTACTGGACGTGAACCAAAGCGGAACTGTTGCAAGCAGCACAAAAGATAAGTATTTCTTTCTAGCATTTGTAACGTTCGTCTTTAACACGGAAAATGAACTCTTAAGGAGAAGCTGCGATATGGCCAAAGAGGTAGAGGAAAATTACTGCAAGATTTACAATCAAGATACCGGAGGTGGAAAAAAAAACAAAGGCAAAAGAACTGATGAGGAATCACAACTAAAGGGGACACTACAAAAAACTATGGAGGATGATAAGAAGCACTTGTTGGAGAAACAGTTAGGGCATGACCAAGTGGAAAAGGCAAAGGACCAATCACTACACCCCAATAACGTGTTCGACCAGTTTGATGTACTCATAAAAAGGACAGTCGATCTGGAGGTAAACCACACACAAGGGGAAGTGAACAAATTGCTAAGTTGTAAAATTTACGTATTTTACGTTTTCTTAAAATTCATATTTGTCCTTACAAAGGACTGCCCCCAAATGAGCAAGTATTATTTGAAGCGTGTGAGGAATATCCTACAGATCCTGATGACCATACAGTTGGGATTCCTGCAACAGAATGAATATCTTGTTCACCTTGCAAACGTCACCCTGCTCCTCATTGTACATACAAATATTCCCGCCGTGAAAGATTGCGAAAGAGAATTCTTAAATTTTTTAATTATGCAGTTAAACAGGAAGAAGTACTCTCTACAAACAATTGAACAAATATTAGCTACCTATTTAAACAAAAAAAAAAATATCAATTTAAATGACGAAATTTATAAAAAGTTACAAAATTATTCCAATGATAATATCAACTTATTTTTAACATATGGGAAAAAAGAAAACTTGTTTTTTTTCTTCAACCTTTTGTGTCTTTTTAATAGTTTACTCCATAACAGGGTTAGCAACTCAAATGAGCATATTCATTTTGTAAAGCCTGTAGAATGCGTTAACATAAATGTAAGCATTAAGGACATGCTGGGCCACGTACAGAAAGTGCTCAACTACTTGGGGACCTTGTGTAGGGGTTATTTGGCCAACAAAACAAAAGTGGACGTATCTCTCAACGGGGGAGGGACATACGTCTATTGTAAGGATGAATCACCACAGGAAGAATTTACCATTGAAGAGATCCTAAAAGGGAAGCATCCACACGACTTTCTCCACGGAGAGTTCCCCAACCGGGAGAAAAATAAACAGCTACCCAACCTCTTTACCTACATAATTGACAACGTGTTCTCCTTTTTTCGGGGCCTCATAAAAGAACAAGACGCAGAATCGATAAGCATGAACGTAAAGCACTTGGTGGATTTTTTAAAAATATTCTTCATGCACAATAACGAGTCTGATTTATTTTTAATAAATTTTGTTGGAACAAATTTTTGTACTTACTTTAAAGAATTGCTGGAGAAGTGCCCGTCTGCTTTAGACGAATTGGTCAGCTATGTTATGTGCCTCTTTAGGGTTGTAAAGATGTTGACCCAAAATACGCTTCACACAGCGGCAGCGGGAAAATTAATGAACATTCTGCGCAGAATACGGGAAGTTGAGGGGGGTGCAAGTTGCTCAAATGGAGAAAGTAACCAAAGCGGGAAAAAAGGAATCTTCCTCGAGGAAAGTATCATCCACAGATTATACAACAACGCTGTTCACACCCTCTACGTTTTCCTCAAAAATGTAGAAACCTACTCAAATGAACAGATGAAAGAAAAGATTTTTATCCAATACGAGCACTTCCTATTTTGCATCCTTGATAACGAGACGAATGCCAACCTTGATCTGATTTTTCGAAACAGCTCTTCCCTCTACGTAACGTTAAAGTTGTTTTTAATTTTGCTCAAGCTTCACAAATTTGACTTTGAAAATGTACATAACTTATTTTTTAAGTTGATCAAATTGGAGAAGGAACTCCCCACAGCCAGTCAACAAGGACCCTCCCTTTTTTATAAAAATGCCCTACACAGTAATGCAGCGTTAGTACAAAAAATTAAGACATTCATTTTAGCCAATTTGGATTTAATTGCGCGCGGGACGGGGGAGACCAAAGTGGAAAAGGTGAAGCGTCTAGAAAGGTTGGCAAAGTCAGACGTGTTAGAACGGGCCGATATTTTGTCCCAGTTTGAGCGCCCCATCAAAGGGAGCAATGTTTGGGGGAAGCTACAAACAGACCTCAAAGACAGTCAACACTATGCGCAAGTACACGACCAGATGAATACCCCCTACAACGGAAAGGGAAAAAACAAAAGGGTGCTCGAAAAGATCAAACGGCAAGGGGAAACCAACGAAATATGGGAAAACGCACATGCGGAAGATACGTCGTCGAGTGGCATCACCACGGATGAACATTTTGAAGAGGAAAGGACGCAGCGGCCAACAAAAAACAACTCCTTCATCAATCAAACGGAAAAATTTAAGATAAAAAAAAAAAAAAAAAAAAAAATTAAGCGTGCGGAACAGGAAGACACCGCTTCCAATGTGCAGCCTGAGATGGCGAATTCGAGTTTGAAAAAAGCGTGGCGTTCAGAGTTGGCCAACGTGGATGAGGAAAGAGTTGACACAGGGGAGGGGGATGACGACGCTGCGAGCGATACGGCAAACGCATCCCGCCAGGATTACACCGTTGAGGGGACAAGCAAAAAAAACAAAAAAATGCTGCAAAGCGGGAAGCATGACGAGCAACAGGACGAGACGCTCGAAACAAATCGCAGCAGCCACGCGGAGGGCGGGCCCGCAAATTTAAAAGAGCTAGCAGATAACGTAAAAATGGTGTCGTCGTCCGATGCCATGAATTCCCTGCAGTTCATGAAGCAGTCCATCCTAAATGACTTATAAAAAAAAAAAAAAAAAAAAGTGCCACTTGGGCGCAGCGTGCAGGCAGTTCTACGTGCTGCGTGGCTTGCACATGCACACATCAGGGAGGTTCGTATTTTCCCCTACTGGTGTTGTGCCATTCCCGCCCCTGCATGTTTTTTCCCCTTTTTTGTCCACATTATACGGTTCTCCCCTCAGAGGGTATACAAAAAGTAGTAACACGAATTGTAGAGAATCAAACCATCGTCCCTTCTCTGACGACGGGACATTTTTTTGTTCCTCCTTTTTTCAAATTTATTTAAAATTTTGCAAAGCATTTTATTTACAGCAATGTTTGCATGCAACTGATTTGTGTGCATCATATTCTGCAGCAGTGTCTTGTTTAGCGAAATTCTTTTTTTTACATACGCCGTGAGGAATCCCTTTTTATTCACACCAGTGGTGTTCATGTTTTCTGTTGAAATTAGATCGCCTCGATCGTCCAGGTCGTCACGATGGTCCCAGTTGTTGTAGTGACCCATGTGCACATTGTCATCCTGGGCACCTTGGTTTTGCCTGGCATAATAATTATAAATTTTGTTAACATGTTTTAGGTAATTTTTCCTTTTTGCTATCTTCTGCACATCGTGTTGGTGCTCATAAGCGCGAACAGCGCTAACGTCGAGGAGCCGTTGTTTCTTCTTCGCTTTTTTCCTCCTTTCCTTTCTAAGTCTGTTTTTTTTTATTTTTTTTCTTCTAACTTTGGCAGCTTTGTTGCCTCGCTCTGAATACCTTCGCCTTAGTGCTTCACCTCGTCGTCTTGAGTGCACCTTTTTGGGGTGTGCCCTGAACCGCTTCCAACCCCGCTTACGACGCGGTGCAGCAGTAATGAAGGCGGCAGAACCCCGACCAAGGACAGTCATTATGGACAAGAGCAGTGGCAAATGGTAATCGGCATGCTGAATGACAAAGTCCATTAAGTTCTTTAAGTAGCTGCATGTAGCTGCATTATCCAACACAAGGACATTGTCCATATGTTTGAAAATCCTGTACAAGGATCCTTGTATAAGAGTATAAATGTGAAAGAAAAAAAAGTTGAACAGCTCATTTAACTCGGTCTCTTCTGGCGAAACTGGCAACCCGCACGTCGTCTTGCACTTCGTGTTCCAGTACCCATTCTTATGGTAAAAATATTTCTTAAAAAATATTCCCAAAAAGGTAGGCGTGTAGGCTAAAAAGAACTTCAGGTGAATATTTAAAGGCATTAAATAAATCAAATAATAGGATACGTAAATATGCATATACGTACATTTACTGTGAGTCAATAATTTACTTAAAATATAAATTAAATAATAATCTATATTAATAATTTCGTTGTTGTTTTTTTTCCTCAGCATGCAACAAAAGTTTATCATTATATCACATGCCTTTCTTTTTACTAACAAAATGAGGTAAATATTTTTTAATTTCAAATCATGTTCATATAAAATAACATGGAGTAGCATCTTCAGAATTTGTAGGCAGTAAAAATGTGTATCTATATTTTTATTTTTTATAATTCCGTCCACTAATATTAACAACATCAGAGATGCGTACATATTGTTGAAGGCCAAGTTATGGTCCAATTCGTTGAAGAGGAAGAAAAAGATATTTGAAAGAATTTTGTTAATCTCCTTTGACGTTGTGAATATGTGTAAAATGTTGTTGTAGTCGAAAAAATTCACTCGGTAATTTATTATGTCTTTTATAATTTCTAAAATGTATTTTGAAAGAATGGCGTATTCCTTGTTTATGGGGTAAAATTTGGGCAATAGGAATATGTTGCCCCGCTGGTGATCCAAGTGGCTATCTCCGTGTCTGCCTCCTAATCTCCCCCCTTTCGCATACTCCCGGTAGCTGTGGAAACCCCGTCCCTTCTTGTCTACCCTGTACAACATCTCGTAGCACTGATAGTCGAAATGAACCGGGGCGCTTTTCCTCTGTTCATTATTCCCCCCTGCGCCACTAGCGTAGTAGTAATCCCCCCCAACGTTGGAACTTTGCCCGTTCTTTTTATTATCCTTCTTCCTCTTCTTACAACGGTTTTGTATAAACAACCAAAAAATGGTCATGTTGGCCTCGACCGGGAGCACATTCTGCATATCGCTCAACAAAAAATTTTGAATATTTTTTATTTTTTTTCTATTTTTTTGCAAATGCAATTTGTAGTGTAGCAGGTTGTTGTCTTCTTCACCGCTCTGGTCCTTCCCAACATCGCCATTCCTTACGTTAGCACTCTCTACTGCTCCAATAACTTCATCGTGCTTCTGTTCACCCCCGAGCCCTTCCCCCAAGGGGGGGCCTTCTTTCACACTTCTCAGTGGGTGCCCGTTACCGATATCTTCGCTTCCCAATTTCTTTGCGCGTTCTGTAAGCAGGTCACTCGCGCTGTGGTCATCACCTTTTCCCTGCTTACCATCATGAAGAGCAGCACTGCGCTGGGCATCACCGCCCGCAGGAAACTTATGTTCATCTTGCCCATCGTTCACACTGTGGGCCCTCTGACTACTTCCACTCTCTGCAGCCTCTTTCGCAGAGTTCCTCTCCGCCTCGTCATTTTCGACAGAGACATTCACCTCGGGGTCGTCCTTACTGGACGGATCATCGGGGAGACTAAAGGATTCCTTTGCAGCGTCTCTCCGATCCTGCTCATCCTCTTCATTTTCCCTTTGGGCACCCAACCAATCGTTTACCCCACTGTGAAGCATTTCGTCCATGTCCCCACTGGAACATTTTGCTTTCGCCTTATGGCCACTTCCATGGATGCCAAGCTCTCCGTTGTCCTCTACACCACTTTCGCCACTTTGCCCCGGATCCACATTATGGCTCCTTTTATCCTTCCCTCTTCCCCCATCGGCGAATTCCCTATAACAATTGGTTCTCCTACTTTGCTGAGTTTGAAACTCCTTGAATATTTTGGCAGCGCTGAGGTTGAAATTATTCCGCCTCTTCTTTCTCCTGCCTTTCTGGAAATAGCCCCTTTTTCTTTTCTTTTTTTTCATTTTATTTTTCACATTCTTAAAGCCCTTATTAGGCGCTAACCTCCACCTGACTCTTCCATATTTCATCCCCCCCTGTTGGGAATACAAATCGGGATGCAAGCTAACCTGATATTTGTATGGAACTGTTACATTCAAGTAATAACAAGAGTTGGTGAAGTCGTTAAGATTTAAAAATCGGCTAATACAGTACCTTTTTCTCTTTTGGTAAAATTTGTTGGCTTCCTCAATTATCTGTCTTACACGCAATTCAATTATGTTTGATATTTGCAGAAAGCTCGAGTCATTTTCGACTATAATTTGGTGGTTAATAATTTTGTTCAGGTGTCCCACATTTTTAATGAAGTCTTTGCTGATGAAGCAATCGCTGCGATCTTGTGGGGCACTTTTCTTTGTCTGTTTTTTGCTTCGTCCTTCTTCACCTGGATCTTCACTTGGTACAATTTTTCCATCAGCATGTCCACCCTTTTGTCCCTCACTCATCTTTTTCTTTGTCGCGGCGACTTCCCGCTGGTCATTCTCCGCCAGCAAGTTGTGTCCCCCCGCGAGTGGCATGTGGCTGTGCCGTGCTACTGGCACATTATTCACTTCGTCCTCCTCCTCTTCGTCTCCATCATCGTCATCATCCTGTTCTTCCTCATCATCGTCATCCTCCTCATCGTCTTCATCCTCGTCATCTTCATCATCTTCCTCGTCGAAGATGCTCCTGTCGTTCCCATCACTCCCATCGTTGACGTCGTCGTCATCCCCCTGTTCCTGGAACAGTTCGGCAATTCCAAAGAGGGCCTCCTCGAGATCCTCCTCTGTGAGGGATCTTTTTTTCTTTTTTTTTTTAGTCCCCCTTTCTTTTATATCATTTTCAAACGACATATTGATAACAGGGTTGACGCACGTCCTCACTAAACATAGCCTCCCCAGGGGTGAAGGAAATCACGAGCTGGGGAGGAAATTTTACCAACTGGCAGGCGCGCGCGCGGGGACAACACGTTGCCAAGCATCACACAAAACAAAAAAAAAAAGAGGCAAAGAAGCAAACACTCACTTGAACACTCCGTCCGTAAGCGCAGAATGAACTTTGCCAACTATACCGTGTACAATAATATATATACACATAAAACGGGAAGGCATAAAAATGCATTTGCATTTGCCTCCCTTCAATTCGTACGGTATGCCGTACTTTTTACATTCCTGCTGTTCAGCAGCTTTTACAAAAAAAAAAAAAGAAAAAAAAGGGAGCAGCAACTTTGTAAGTAAATCACCTTTTCCTATAGTGTTATTTCTTCTCATGGTACCTTTTTTTTTTTTTTTTTTTTTCCATGTTCATTTCGCTGTCATTTTAGGAGGTTCCTCCTCACTGCAAACACCTTTGCCCCTATTTTTCTGGAGAAAAACTAAAGAAAGGGAATGCACAAAAAAAGGAAAATTGAAAAAAATGATAAAAATAGCCCCCTTCCGCGTGTATCATGCAATATATGCTCTTAAACATTTCCCTTTAGGACTGCTTCCTCCCTGAACAAAATTATATCGTTACCCGTATCAGCTATATGATAATAAAACACGACGCGGGTTTTGTGAGGCCCAGTTGCTAGGTGAAATAACAACAGCACCCGTTGTTGCGCATTCCCAACATGCAGTAACAGCGGCATCGCCATTTAGAAATTCCCCTCACAAACGTTCGCAAGTACAGGTGTGCTAATGAACCGCCAAACTGGTACTCTACCCCCCTACGCTGAGGAACTTTAACAATTTCGAAAAAAGAAAAAAAAAAAAAAAAAAGAAAACGCTGCTTCCATATGTGCAGAACACGCGAGACAATTTTTTCCCCTTTATTATGTCCCCCGTTCCGTTTCTCCGTAACTTTCATTTTTAATTAGTCACCTTCTAATTTCCATTTTGTGACCTTAAGGGAAACGTTATTAAAGGCTGTGGGGGCCATGCATAGGCGCACACCTGTAGGAGTTTACACACTGCTCACGCAGCTGTCAGGAGGATAAGCGTCTACGCGACGAAGGTTTTAATTTTTGAAAAGTCTATTCAACAAAGTGAACATGGTTCAAAGTCGTTGGGTGTGATTACACACCATACGTGGAATGCCCCTCCGCGGGGAAAAACATACACAACAGCTAATTAGTACAGGCTGCACAAACAAAAAAAGGTTTTCCATTAACATGGGCACAATTCTGCTCGACCTGTCGTTCAATCGCTTAACGCTCCCCGGTGCCTCAAGGTCTTCATAACCCCGACCTTTCTCCGTAGCCAGTATTTCCCGAACTCCCACTTGGGTTCCGTCTGCAGGATTTTTTAGAACGGGTCCAAAAAAAAGGGGGAAGGGGGGGACATGCATATTTATTGCTCCAACAAAAAGTCTCATGGAGGGGAAGGGCCTGTAGTGGTGTCCCCCTTTTTTCACAGATGAACTTATCCCCAAATGGTCGCCTGATTCATTGCCATTTACACACACAAAAAACAAGGGGGCTACGTTTTTTTTTTTTTTTCTTTTTACTTCTAAATTGGAGTCCGTCATGAGTTCTTGTTTCTTCTCGTCTGGGTTGATTAAAAAGGTTGCGCACGTGTAGGTGTGATGAGATGTTTGCACACGTAGGCAGGGCGGGATGAAAGTACGTTGCTGCGATTTACCTGCCATGGACATTTTATAGTGATAAGATGTCAACCTGAGTAAGTAAGGCACTCGTCCCATTTGTTCGCCCTGAGCGGGGACACAACACAAGGGGGGGGGGGGGGAATATAGGTATGTTACAAATACTATCAGGTGGGCGATGCAAATAAACGGGGCGCCATGGTTCATGTACAGACATAGATTATATGTACTGAGAGAACTTTCTGCTTCTTCGCTTTTTCCTCCACACAGCTTAGCTACCTCGAACAGAGATACCAATTGCCCTTCCGGGCTGCACAGCTTCTTCAAAAAGGAACAAACATAAACTGGATATCTGCTTTTTTCATATTTCTCATTTCTGATCTGGTCAGCTAAAAAATAAAACTTCCACTCCAGCCTGGGCACGTGTCCCCACCACAGGATGGGACCTATCTCATTTAAGTCGCCTAAAACGGAAAAAAAAAAATTAACAACACATGCATAACTATGCGTAAAGGTTGTATAGACGCCTGCACAACGAGTACAGAAAAAATATGAAAAAAACGGGAGGCATGATGCACCAGTTGTCCCTCCTACGATTGCTCAATATAAACACATTTAAGAGGCATCTCCCGAATAAAGTTCGTGAATTATTACCCTCTCCCTTACCTGCCTTATAACAAAAATTAAAGGACTTCCATTTGTATCTCTTCCCAATCTTGTGCAGCTTCTCAATGATTATTTCTTCTCTGTGTGTGCGTGTGTATGTTAGCATGGCTGTTCGTGGAGGAGTCAGAGTAAAGGGGAAAGGAAAGAACGAAGGTGGAACACATGTACAAAAAAATTCAACATAAGTATATATCAACACGTGAGAAGGGGGTGACTTGAAAAAAAAAAAAAAAAAAAAAACGCCCAACATGGCTACATGATATAGAAAAGGTCGAACATGGGATAATAATCCCAAGTCCACTCTCCACTCTCCACTCTCCACTCTCCAAAGTACCATACGAATTGCAAATGTTCAGAGGGCAGAGTTCATAAAAAAGGTAGTAGCAAAGGTGAAAGCACTTTAAATCGTCAATGTTCCATTGTCTGAACAGCAACAGGAGGTAAAAAAAAACAAAAAAAAAAACAGAAAATGTTGTTCATGCAGGTGCAAAATCGGGTGGTCATTTTTTTCTTTCCTTTTTTTAAGTGTACTCGACAAAGGGAACGAGGTTTATAAGGACGATTAACTGAAAAAAAAAAAGGGGGGCGCAAAGGGATATATGCAGGTGGGTAAAATGTATGCAAATGTGGGAGCGAGACGACAATTGGACAATCAGAATAACGTCACGGAGAATGTCCCATCTCAACGGAGCATTACGGCGTAGAAGAGAAGAATGACGAGTTTGACGCAGCCGACGAGCAAAAAGGTCACGGTGTTGATGGGCGCGCCATTCTGCAAAGAGGAAAGAGAAATGAAACAAATGAGTAAACGTACACGGGTAAGTACCAATACAGTGCGCCACACATCACGCACTGCACGCTTCTCTGCGACACATAAGCGCGCTATATCGCCACGACCCAATCATGTTACTTGGTGCAGGGCGGGGATCTCCCTCGGATGGAACAACAAATTTAAAATCGAATCGTCAAGGCAGGACAAAAATAAAATTAGACACAAGTACGAAAAAAAAATATAATTGCAGATGATATAGCAAGTTATGTGAATGGCTGCAAAAGGGACAAGGGGGCGGGGGGAAAAAAAAAACTTGTGGACACGTCAAGTGGAGTTCAGCGCTACACCGTTGTGTGATTTCTGGCAGGCACATCGTTAGGCTGTGCAAAAGGTTCGACACGCTGTCATGCTCACGACCACATATATCGCCTGGACACAATAATGGTAACTCCTTTTTTGTATTATCCTTCTAGTTGCACTTACTCACAAAGAGAATAAAAAAAATTAGCCTTAAAATTGAGGAACAGAATATGAGCCAGGAGAATAAAAGCTAAAAAAAAGGGCGGAAATTAAAATAATTTCAATAATCACAATAATGGCTATAAGGACAAAAGTGGAAATGCCGCTCTACTCACCTCCGATGTTAAGACCAGGAAACAAATAATCTTTTTGTTAAATGTACAATTGGCGATATCTGCAGTGGAGGGGAAGGAACACGCGCGCTTATGAATGTCTTGATGAGCAATTCGATTAAGCAGTGAAGCGGGTACCTACACGTGCCCTGCATATTTTGTGCGCCTGTACGTCTGCGAATTTTGCACCGTTTTGTTAGAATTACGTGAAAGTATCGAGGGGGCTGGTTGACACAAAAATAAATTTTGGCAGGCCTCCAGGTGCAGCCACTGGGGGCTGTTGTTAACTGGTGAAAAAACAAAAAATATATATATATGTATATATATATAGAATAACACTCCATTGCTCCCCACATCAACTGGCTCATCCTTCGCGCGCACACTTTTCATTACCAAGCTTATGCACAGCAGAGCCGAACAAAATTTTGAACGCGACTAATCGTAAGGCGCATATCACCAGCGTGTTGGAATGCCTCAAGTGATGGCTATCAGACAGGCATAAAAATATTAGGAGAAATCCCAATTCGTTCATGAGCAAATCGCTGCAGGGGGATGGAAGTGGTGGAATTTAGCGACAGAGGGGGGGTACACATGTGGGTACATAAATAGGTATATATACACTGTGCCGAAGTAGACATCACACAATGTGAGTAATGTGTAATCACGAGTTCTTCTCCCCCTCTTTATGTAATATGTTGTGTTCGCTTTTTTCCCCTCCTTTTTTTGGAGTACCACTGGAAAACCATAAAATCCCGCATCCCAATTTTGAAGCACAAGTGAAGTATGAATAGGGACACAAAAAAAAAAGAAGAAAAAGTTATCCTGACGAAATCGTTGTGGACACGGTCTTGAATTAAAAAGTTGGCAATCGATAGGAACACCCCAACTTTGCAAAATGTCTTCACCTGGCATGGGGCGGAAATGTAGTGGTTTGGGGTTGCACGTTGCGTGTGTGCATTTAGACGCTCCCTCGGCTGATCACTTCGCTCATCGCTTGCCCCAGCTTACCCTTATCCGCCGTTTGATCACGAACTTCCAAAAGTGGTACACACAGCGGACCACATGGTGCACGAGGAAAAAGTCAATGCTTCGGAGTTTTCTCTTAACCTCCCTCAGAAAATTGTCTACAGGAAGAATGCCATTCTGCAATCCTATCAGCAATTCGACCTGCACGGGGGTGGATAAAAAAAAAGGTCGCTTCTTTTATTGGAGCATTTTGGGGGATAAGCAAAAGTAGGCACCTCTTCCAATACGCCGTCTTTTTTTTTTTTTTTTTTGTTTCTGAGGAGGACGCTTTTCACAGAAGTATGGACCCATCAGTGGGGGGGTTTATCCGCATTCATGATCAAATGCAGAGGGATCCACTCACCTGGTTGTTTAACGAAAAAAAAGATACCAAGTACAGGACGTTCGAGTAGGTCAAAATGAGACGTGACGTTCTTAGGTGCAAATACTTATCAAAACTATTTACGGTGGACAAAAAAAAGATGTAAAAAATAAAGCAGGTTATAAGGACGCAGTTTTTTTTCTTTAGCTTCAACGTGTCCGATTCGTTTTTTTCATTGTTCTTGTGGCCCATACTACTGCGACTGTTAGAAGCATCCATTATTTTGTGGTATATGCGGAGCGCGACCTGTTCATCCTAGCTGGCCTCAGCAGCAGATGCGCGCGCCTGTGCATGAGTGTATCGTGTGGACATATGTATGGGAACAAGTGTACGTGTGGCTTCTTCCCTGCGCGGCGTTTGCATCTCTCTCCTTTGAATGATTTGGCTCCTTTTTTTCCACTTTATTTTTTTTTTTCCTTAGCTGGCCATTATTGGATGCCTGCCGCCCTTACACATTGTCACTTTGAAGGCCGAGATTGCTCCTCAAATGAGCCTCAATTGTGATCAAGGATTACCCTTTTTATTTACAATTTTTTTTTTTTTTATAAATTTAGTTAAAGCAAACAAATGTGTTAAGTTTGCTACGGGGAGGATTCATTTTAATGTTAAGAGGACCCTCCCGGGTTGGGGTGTATACAAACTGGTCACTCAATTTTATGTGTACAAAAAAAAAA